CCATCCATCCATGATCTGGGGGGGACACATGCGAACCTTTCTCCTGTATCGGGCCCTGATTGACTAACTTGCTGGATCTCCCTCAGTTCTTTGTGCTTAAAATGGTTTTTTTTCTGCAGCCTGCCTATGAAACGGTTCGATGTGAACCTTCCAGTGGTCACTGCGATGCCTTTCTTATGTACAGTGTCTGAAGGAGGTCTGGGTTGCTCTCCTTTCCACAGAGTCACCAGTGGGAGTAGGTGGCCCAAGCATGGGCCTTGGGCTGCTGTGCTGGCCTGGAGGAGAGCGCTGTCCTGGCAGAACTGCTGCTGCTCTCCTGGTTCAAGGAATGGGTAACCCATTATAGCTGCTGCTCGTAGTCTGCTTCTGTGTGGGATCACCACAGAGGTGAAGCGTGGAAAGGGAACTGATCCTTGGCAGGGTGGGAATGGAGGTCTTGAGATCTGCCTTCCCTGTAGTGTTACACAGGCAACATCTGCGGCATGTTTTTGAGACTTCTCAGGGCTGATGGGTTTCAAAGGAGACAAGGCTGTGAAAAAAAAGTACGAGTTTCTGTTTGCATAAGTTTAATGAGACCTTACTAAAGGTTCAGCGCATAGACTCCGACCTGTTTCACTTCAAGTGTCAGCTATGTTTAAACTTTAAGTGAAACATTAGCTAACACATGTCTGGATTTGATTTTTTCCTTCAAGAGCCCCTAAGTCTCCAACTATTTTCTGGGATGTCAGTCCTTTACTCAGGTTTTTCATGACTGCTTTTTGCCAACTTTTAGCTGTGACACTTTCTTAATGTCTCAAAGCAATTGGCAAGGCTGGATTCAGCCCATCGTGTGAGGGGGAGAATGTGTCTGGATCCTCTGAAGCTCGTTGCCCTCCTAGGGGAGGACTTAAAGCTTAAGGGACGCATTACTTAAATGAACTGCTATCAAGTGGAGATGTGCTGGTGTCTACTATGAGGATATGAGAGGGAGTGTGTCAAGTCTCAAATCAGTGTGCTTGAGGAAAAAGACTGGATAACAAGCGAGTTGTTTATCCCCTACCCCTGTTTTTTTACAACCCCTTTTAAAATTAAATAGGGAAAATAAACTGCTGAAAGCTGAACTTGCTCACCTCAAGTGAAAATGTGGAAGGCACCGTCTGCATCCTAAATTAACTGAAATCACTAGCTGTATTAGAAGTAAAATTGTGTTTAGGTGAGTATTCTCAAATACTGCTTTCTTCCAACTGCAAAATTTGGAGGATTTCATAAAGAGAAACAATTGTACAGTGAAGCTGATTAGACACAGCTGACAAATCCACTAACTAAGCAATTTTTAAAGTTAATGAAAAATTCTCTTCATTTTGCATATGTGTTTGGAAAAGAAAGGAATTTATTAGTTGGTATGATGGAAGGGCTAGGGCATACAACTATGTATTTCTATATTTTGGTTACTATATATTACAAATTCACTAAATCTAAAAGATGCTATTGGACATTGTCCACCTCTGCTACATCCTTGTGTGCATGAACATTTTGGCAGTGTGTCCTGTAAACAGGATGTGGAGCTCTCAGAGCCCTGTTTGACTGCAGTTGTCGGCGTTTTGGAAAGTATACGGACAAATTCTTGCCACTTGTATTGCGTGTGTACACATGTGCAAACTTTTTTTTTTCTCCTGAGATGCTACTAATTTAATCTCTTTAAACTTGATCCCAAAGACCAAATACTCTGGATTAGACACAGCATGTAATACTGCCTTTTGGTTTTTTTGCCATTGCTGTGTTACTTTTCCTGTGGTGTTAATCTTGAGTGGTTTGGAATAGCCTTAGAACTGACTAGTTATGCTGTGTTTCTTGGTAGCACTATATGAACAATGCATTAACGGTGCTTTACTATGTATGTTATTCTGGCTTTGAAAAATCAGGCGTTGTTCCAATGCAGAGTTGAGACACGAACCCTGGTATACAAACCCTCCTGAAATGGAGATACACTTCAGTGGAGAATCTCTGAATGGGAGCCTTGAATGGTCTTTTCCCAAGTAAATAAATATTGCCTCCTGCTTAGTTTCAAGAAACATGGCACACAGCTGCTCTTTACTCTGTTGTAAAATAAGGGGCTGTTTGCTGACTGAAGCAAGCTATTGGCATTATTGCTAGCAGCTGCTGAACTCTTAGTGTTAACTTAAACAGCTCATAAATGTTAATCATGTTGCAGTTTTGTTAGAGCTTGTCTGCATATCCCAGAGGCACTAGCTAATATGTCCCACTTTTTTTCACATGGACTGATGACATTTCTTAGTAGAGATTCCAAATAGCAACTTCATAATTCAGTGGTTTTACTCTGGCGGCTGGAGTTTCTTCAAAACCGCGCCTTTAACTGCAGCTTCACTAGTGCTAGTATGGCTTTATTTAGATGTATTTCAGTAGGCTCAAAGCTGCTGAGCATGCGGTGGAACGAGTACGTGGTTGAAGGGACTATGCTGTCTGCTTTCTGATCTGTTGTTTGGAGATCTGTGATAAAGTCAAATCCAAATCGAAACTGAACAGAATCCATGAGGTTTATCTCATACTTGCATATTGTAATCATTTTGCTGCTCTACAAGTGCAAAAAGTTTACAGGAAATGTAAGAGTTGCTGTAGAAATGTGTTATCTGCATAATAAACAATTAAATAATGTGCTGTGGCCTTTTAACAGTCCCTCCCACTCTTCAGCCAGTGGGAATGTGTTCTTAAAAACAAGACAAAGCTCCCAAACAAGCTAATCCTTTCCTCCCTTCAGGTCAGATTCTGCTGGTGTTCTCAGCAGAAAACACTGGTAAGGTCCCAGAACCTGGTTTAGAGCCTGTCAAAATGATTGTAAATACAGCACTAGTGAAAGCATAGATAATTAAGTAAAAGCTGCTATATTATTGTAGAAGTTTAACTTGTATTTATTTTAATCATTGTGCAGGTCAGAAAGAGCACAGTGTTGTTTCTAATGCCGTATAGAGAAATTATGCTTGCCGCATCTAAAATCCGTTCTCTTGTCCTTATGTTTATGTGAGTTTATCTGGTGGAACTTTTTCTCTCTAGGGCAGTAGTGTATGTTTATCAGAACTGGACTTCATGCTTAGAAACTTTGCTGCCTACCAAGCTGGTTGAAATTGCAGTTAGTCTGGGCTTCTGGTGGATACAGGTTAACCTCGCTGCAACACGACTGTTCCTGTACAGAGAGAAATACTCTCTGCTGTGTATTTAAGCGATGCTTTGGATGTGTCTGTATGCTGTTCCTCTTCTGGGTTCTCTCCTGGCCGCTTGCAGAGGAATTTCTGTCCCTGAAGAGATGTACAGGACAGGAATAAGTATTGCAGACTGATGCTAAATGGAACCTGTGCTGTAAAGTGGAAGGTCCCAACTTGAGCTGGAACCTCTTGGACTTTGAGACAGGCTTCATGCACAGAAGTGTATTTTTTATGGGTTATTAAAGAATCACACCAAAGATACATGAACCTCATGCCTCGCAGAATCTGCAAGCTGGGGTTTGATCTCAAAACATTCCGTCATCATGTTTCCAGGGACAGGAGTAAATGTCACTCTTCATGTAGGTGGATGTGAGAGTTTGTTTCTGGACTTGCTCCTAAAAGTCTAGAGAAAGAGTGGACAGTACACAGTCTCATAGTTTTTAGTCAGAAATGAAACAGAAGACTCTCTAGGAAAGCGGAGGAGACTCCAGATTGTGTGTGCATGGTTAAATTATAGTTGCATGACCTATATTTTGGGAAAGGCATAATTGTAAAAATAATCTTGGCTTTCTTAAACTTTTTAGCTCACTTATTTGTGAAAAGGTGGTGTAGTTTGTTACAGATGGTATGACCATCCAACTATCAATTCCAGTCATATCTTCTTCAGTGGGTTTCTATTTTGTTTAGGTTGCTTTTTTTTCTTCTCCTTCCAAATGGTCCACCTAAAATTCTACTGTTGTCCTTGAATTCTGTCCTATCTACATGCATGTCTCGTGCATCAGATTGAGACAGCTTGCCTTAAGATTTGATACAACTTCAAATATCCACTGGTACCTAAATGAAAGAAGAAAGAAAACCTCCAAACTGATTTAATATCTGAGAGATGACTGAGTCTTTCTTTTGAGTTTGGAAGTAGATTTTTTTTTTGTGCTGCAGTCTTAAACTGGCAGAATAGAAATATAGTCAAATGACTGAGTTCAAGAAATGAATTAAGAAAATGGTGACCTGAATTTTGGTTCTCTTCAAAATTCTGATCCAGAAGTACCTTATTGTGGATGCACTCTTGCCTTAAAACTTAAGGTTTTTTCAACTGCTTGCATGTATCTGGGCTTTGGCATGCATTGAATGCTGATGTAAAGCATAAATGACTTGATGAAAGTTGTCTCACACGTGTAGAAAGCTGTGTACCTGACAAATCTTTGCTAATGCTATAGTCCAAAGGCTGATCTCAGAGATCAACCTCTGGACCAAAAGTTGAGATGGGCAAAGAAACAAACCCCCCTCAGTAAGAAGCTTTCCTTGTTTCTGTTTGATAATTCTGTAACCCTACTGAAAAGCCTGAATGGATGACCTCAGTGTTGTTCCAAATCTCAAATTGTTCCAAAGTCTCTGAGCAAAGGAATAAATTGATCTTAAACATGAAATCCTGCATTCAAGGGTTTGGATTTGTAGAAGATTTCAAGAAAGCAATAGTTAAAGGAGCTGGCAAAACTTAAAAGCAGCGTGTGGTGTGCACTGTTAAGCATTTCTGACAGCTGTACTGTCTGAAACCCAAATAGACTAGTGGACTGCCAAAGAAGTGCTTGCCTATCCAGGTAGGGAAGTACATCAGCACTACTATTTTTCATATTACTTGTGTGACTCATAAGTAGGAAGAGATGCTGAAGTTTATCAGGGAGTGACTTGTGTGCTAGTAGATAATTTGTGTGGGGAGAAAGAGAAGGTGGTGAAGAACTGAAATACTGAAAGGTGCAAAAGAAAGGTTGTCAAAAGTACTAAGCACTTTCTTTCTTTCTCTTGCAGCCATTCAAGTACTGACTTTCTTGGTCTATTAAGTTATTATAAACTTTTGCTGCTCTGCGAACACAAAGATGTCTCGCAGCCCTGATGCCAAGGAAGACCCTGTGGAATGCCCCCTTTGCATGGAGCCTCTGGAAATTGATGACATCAACTTCTTCCCTTGCACCTGTGGCTACCAAATATGTCGTTTCTGTTGGCATCGTATCCGCACTGATGAGAATGGACTTTGTCCTGCTTGCAGAAAGGTAAATATCCTGGAACAGCAGCTTGCCTTGCACATATCGCAAGGCTCTTGCATTGTGTTGGTACCCAAGACATCCTTTTCCTTCAGGGAAGCATTCACCACCTAGTCATGGCCTAGCTCAAGGGTGAGGTGTTGGATCTTTCAAATTCTGTCTGCGTAGATGTCGAAGCTGTTGTGTAGTGGCTAGTCTTGGTTTGTTAAATTCAAAACTGGATTAATAGGGGAAGCTGTGGATCAGAACCAAGGCATGCTGATGCTGGGAGAACTGTTCCTCCTTCCCCCCCAGAAATCCTTTGAGTTGGGGTGCTTGTGCATTGACAAAGTCTTCCCGGGAAGGACAGTGAGGATTCCAGCATCAGGGGTTTGCCAGGGGCCAAGGTTCAGCTAAATTAGCAGAGCTGTCTGAGGCAAGCTTATAAAGCACCTGCTTGTTTTGTTTGTGGCACTGGAGCTTTTAATCCATATTTTTCTGGACACTAAACATGTAAAACCTTTAGAAATTATATCCAACAGTGTTAAACTTTAAAGCATTTCAAAATCTAAGCTAAGCCTATTTGTCTAGTATTCTGATCTTGTTGCCAAATGCTTAAAGGGTGGTACTTTGAGACTCTCACTTAATTTCTCCTTTTCTCTTAATTGATGTCTGGCTGATACTTGGGTTGGCCACAGCTATAAACTTCAGCTTCACTAATTTGCCTGCTTTTTCCTTTGAGTTCTTTTCCTCCTCCTTTTAGTGTTTTGCTTAACCTCATTATTTCCTTATCTTCAGTGTTTAATACAATTATTTCTCAATATCTTCTCTTTAACACTAATGATTTCCCTTGATTGTAACTTTCTTGCCTGGTCTTCCTCTTTTTGTAATCACAGCTACTTACGTCCCCTTTCTCCTGCTATTTAATTGTGATCCTGTCCTCAGTTTATGCCTTTGTTGGCTTCCTGTCTCTTACTACAGCTCCCTTTTCAGACCGCAAGTAATCTTACTTGGTCTGACTGTCTTTGTTCACTGCCACAGCTTTCTGTAATCACTTCCAGTTATATTTTCTTGCTACTCTTTTGGGCCTTGGCTACACTAGAGCTATCACTGCTAACTTGTGTTTGGTTGCATCTGCAAGCTTGAAGGCTATCCCACAGCACCGTATGCTTCTTAACAAATTGTGCACACTTGCTGCGATATTTGAGCTGTGTGTTCTACCAGGAAGATACACCTGTCATCAGCCAAATCAGTCTCTGTATGCGATAACTGCTGTAGATGACACATGCTGTATAGTAATTTTCATAGTACAAGCAAATTTCTACTCTTCTGGTGCAACATGAGACTTCTGGAATTGTCTTGTCTGTGTAAATCACTTCGTTTACCTGGATTTATTACACTACTTTTTGCCAACATCTATTTGACTCATCTCTGCCTGTTCATTATTGGAAATCTGTGGAATATATTTGAGAAATCACATGTTCTTCACTGCCTCTGGTTATCTGAGTTCCTTGAAATATGGATACTGCCACAGCTGAACTTTTTAATGTGGAATAATCTGGCATATGATTGGATGTGTAAATACTTTGCTGGATTGGATACAGTTTGATCAGAGCTTTTCTGGGAGAAAGCTAGAATGAGTGCTACACTTGGAAGGAAGCACACCGGCCATTCCAGGAGAGGAAGGAGGCCTCTTCTTTCCCAATGGATGAGGATTATGTTCTTGGCACATTATTCATCTGTGGACTGCAAGATGTTCTTGAATGGATTTGCAGCCATATCACTGAATTGTAGGAGGTTTGCATAGAGGAGGCTGTGCTGTACACTGCTTTCATGGAATACACAAAGACACTGTGGCACAGAGACCCCATCAGGATCTTGGGAATTAATAATATTGAACTGCACAGTTGATGGCTTCTTCAGACTTATTTGATGCTGTCACCTTTTGAAGCTTGCTGGACCTTCTGAACCAGGTATGTGTTTTTGTGTGCAGTGTGTCTAAATAGTTTCTATCTGTGTGTAGTAAAGTTTCTTGGGAAAAGATCTAAGAAGTTTTCTAATTCATATCTGCTATTGTGGTGTGTACTGGCTGTGACCACTTAAAATGCTGAAGTGCAGAAAATGCCAAAGCAGCAAAATTTTTGCAGGGAAGTTTCTAGTAGTAACTTTCTAGTGGCTTTCAACAGGTACTTCATGTTTATAATGTGTATACCAGTGCAGGATAGTTACTGCAAAATGAACTGTGAACAAATGCATAATAAAGCAAGGCTGAGTGTGTTATGTGCAACTATGTTATAGAAAACTGCTCTTTGTGCTAATGGTATGGAATGCAATGTAAGTTCTCCAGTGACTTGATCACTAGTCTGTGGAGAGGAGCAATGAAGAAGTTCCCTACCCAGGGATTTTGGTTGACAGGTTTAGAGAGAGATTTTTGAAAAAATAGTGGTGTCTGTGCCATTAGTTTGATAGATCTTAACTGTGCATAGCATATATACTACTGTTTTCCTAAGCTTGTCTAATTTACTTCTAACTGAAAAGAAGTTAGCTTGCAGAAAATACTTCTACATCCTTGAACTGTTATATAGCTTAACATTTGTGTGTGCAGAATATGTTCATGTGGCTGCAGTCAATTGAACTAGTGTGTCGTAAGTTTCCTCTTGTTAGTAACTGTAGTAGAGTAACGTTTGCTTTGGTTTGATTTGTGAAAGTAAGGTGCTAGTATGAATCTGACTTGAATGCTGGCGTGAAACTAGTACTTGTTAGTCTTAACACATTAAATGCTTTCTAAACTTTGTCTGAAGCTTCCGAAATAGACTCAGAAGTAGTTTCTGTTTAATTCATTAACTACAAAAAGTACTTCCTTAAAAAATAGCACTGACCTGCTTTGAGTTCCTGATGCCCTTCAGAATTGTATGTGTAGTCAATTGTAAGATGCTAAGCAAGCCTTCCTGTTTTTTCCAGTCAATTGATTTCTTAACTGTGAGTGAAATAGCTGCTAACTAGTCAAATTAGAATGAAAATCTGCTGTTCTCAAAAGACTTCTGTAGCCAAAACCTGGTTTACAGACCAGCAGACTCAAAGGTTCTGGTTGTGAAACTAGCGATTTTTAACTTCATAGTGATTTTTCTTTATTTTAAAAAAAATAACCTTTAAAATTCAATGGCCTAAGTACTGTTTGTCATAGGAATATGTGCCATTTTAGTCTCTTGTGTTGCTTTAATAGTGTATAGCACTCTCAGACCTTAATATCAGTTGTTGCAATTTTTAAATCCAACAATAAAAAAGCCTATCTCCTTTGCTTTGAAATCTTAGTTGTTTTGTCCTTCCACCAAATAATATAATGTGATACACAGCTGCTCTTGTGGTGTGGCTTTGCCTTGTTCTCCAGTTCCTTGATTTAGTGGGCTTTATTCCTCCTAGAATCTTGTGTTAGAGATGGAGAGAAGTAGTAAACTTCTACATTTATGACCAAGAAACTAACATGTCTTAAGCATGTTTTTGTCCATGTTTCTCCTACTCCTGCTTCTGTGTGAAAGGAACACCTGGTCTTAGTGCACAGTCTTCAAATGTCAGTTGTTTTCTCTGTGCTTTTAATCCTACAACTGAGTAGTTTGATGCAGTGACTTATATTCAGAAATACATAGGAAATTGGTATTATTTTTATTCTTGTTATAAGTGGTATGGTGTATACTGTGCATAAACCTTATTGACTTTCTCTGTATTTTTCATTTCAGAACGTGTTTGGTGGTAGCAAGGCAACAACTGAGAGATGTTGGTGCATCCATTAAGTGGAAAGAATGTGACTCATCTGGAAATGACAGAACCAAAATGCTTGATAAATCCCAGCTCGACTTTCAATAGTTGTGGGGGGAAAAAAGTATGAAAGAAAGCAAAACTTAAATGGCAAGACAAACTTAGTCAGGAAGACTGAGAATTCATCAAGGGCCATCTCTGTTTAAAGAAATGAGACTACAGAAGAAACATTCGAACTTTTGATGAAGTTCTTGTAGAACTACCAGCAACTTGCAGTTAGTGTAAACAAAGTCTGGTCATTTTCCATGTTGTCACACCTTGTTCAAGTGGCTTCCATGGTTTTTGTTGAAGAGTATTTGTATAACTTAAGTGAAGGGTGTCAGCTGAACTTAAGTCAGTGAATCCAGTAATGTTGACATCCCTTAATATCTTGCATCTGAAAATACATAAATGCTGATGACAATGTCGCTACTTTGCTTGGATGTCAAATCTTCTGTGAGCCAAGGAATCGGTGACAGTAGGTTAAACAAGTATCTTATGCTTCTTGGTCATTGGGACCATCTAGCCCCTTGTTTTATGCCATGTGCAATACAATTGGTTAAGGTATGTCTTAAAAAAAAGCAACAAAACCAACCAAACAAAAAACCCCAAAGAAACAACAGCAACAACAACAAAAACAAACAAACAAAAGTGGTCATGTCAGTAGCATTGCCACTTCAGCTATTCCAAGACCTGAGACTTTCTAGTACCTATGGTCATCCTTCTACCCCCATTTTGGTAGGGTTGGACAACATGTGAAATGGTTCTGTGAAATACACCAGCAGTCAGTCCACCTTGCTTGGCTTTCAGTGCCGTGCTCCACCAGCCTTCCCTGTATGTGTTCTGTCTGTAGTTGAACTATCATCTGAGCTCATGAACCTCAACACTGTGGAAAGTAATCCCTCTGAAGAGGAAATATTTTATTGTTCTATTTGTAGGCTGACTTTATATCCTTATTTGAAAGGAACCAGGTGTTCTAGTACTGATTTTTAGAGTTAGCTTCTGAAATGTTGGTGCAGTGCTTACAAGCCTTTTGCTCTCCTTAAATGCACAGTATCTCTTATATGTCATTATGCCACGCGTTATATACAAGAAAATCTATCACTACTTAGGATTAGGTTTCTGACTTATTCTTGGGATTCAAGAGGTGTACACAGATTCTTTTACAGATCCTGCAAGTCAGGATATCCAACTACTCCTTAGAAACATGAAACATGTCATAAGTGTGATACATACACATGAAATGTTTCCTATGTAATACAGCTCTACAATATCTAGTGGGAACTTCCTGATGATTCTGTTGCTCAAGCAAGTGCTGTTATCCATGGTGGCAAATCAGCTGCTGCTGCTTTGTAGTGATGGAAATCTTTATTCAGGAAGTCTTGTCCTTTCCACTGAAATGAAGACATTTCTCTTCCCTGATGCTGAATTTGCTGTTTAGTTGTGTGCTTTCTAGCAGTTCTTGTGCTCTCCTGTATAAGTATGAACTTTTACTATAGACAAAGAAATGTTTTTCTTGGGGTTGTGCTTGAGCTGCCTGGGATGTTTCCTGACTAACGTTCAAGACCTTCAGTAGCAAATGACTGTGCAGAGAAAGGAACGTACTGTCTGGCAGCTTCTCATTTGAGAATATGCTTTGAATGTGGCTGTGCTTGGCAAGAAAGAAGCTGGTGAACTTTGACACTGTTTGCTGTGCTGTTTTTGGACCTTCAGGAGCCTTGCTGAACCTAGTGAAAACCATGAATTAATTTCTTGCGTGATACCAGAGAGCAACACACTTGCAAGCTTTTTTGGAACTATATCTACCTTATACTGGAGCTTGCTTTCTTCCCATTCCTACTTGAACTCAGCTTGAGTGTGATAACTGAATTAACTCTCTCTTTGCCAAGCAGTCTTTCTCTTCCCTAAAACAAAACAATATCTATTCTTTATTCTAGATGGTTGACTAACAGAGACTTTGAAAAATGCTTTAAATGAGTGAAATCCCTTGCAGAATTATTCTGTATCTCTGAAGCCCTCATGTGCACGTGTTAAAACTCAAGATAATCATTGGCTATAGTTAATCTCAAACGACCTTTCTAACAGGTCATTGCTGTTCAAGTACATTGTGAAATCTGTATAACATATTCAGTGTGACTTGTGAATAACATAACTTCTTAAGAAACGGTATAGTTTTAACAGCTCTTCAAGAGTAACTTGAGTCCTTACTGTATTTTCACGTTAAGGGCTTAGTTGTGTACCTCTGGCTACTGCTAAAGTACCATGCAAGTTTAAATTCCTTTGTGGTATTAAAAACATGTTCCAGAGGCCTTGGTGTTTAAACATGAGATGCCATCTACTGAAGTTGACTGCAATGTATTATCAGAAGATGTCTCAAGTAGAGCATAATTATGCTGAACTTTAAACTGTAAAATGGTCTTGTTTTGTTTGGGGATATACTTGGAAGGCTATCAGGTCAGAGCACTTGCTGGCTCTTTCAGTAGCATCATGCATACAGAGGGAATATAATATATGCTATTAACCTACACCTGCATCTGCTGCTGTAGCTTTTCTCAGGTTATTTAGTACGACGGTTTTGTATTGTCATTAATAGAGGACAGTCAGGAAAATGTTAAATTTGTTTTTGCTGGACTTGCACACTGAAACTTTTGGTTATGTTAGTACAAGCAAAGAACTTTGGCCAACATATTGGTGAGCTTAACTTCTTTATTTCAATTCTTCACCTTCATGCGCATCTCCTGTACTCTTCACATTTTTTACCTCATCTCGGTGTTTATAAACAATTCTTTTTGTTTGAGATATATATTTTATATACTTTCTTCTGTGCTTAGCATTGCTTTGTATATAAAATGTGAAATCTAACTTTTCAGTCTGAGAGAAGTGGGACAGGTGAAGAATATGGAACTGCTTTGAGGAGTAATCTGGGGTGGAGGACAGTGCAGTGTAGTCTACGAGAGCAGGCTAAAATAGTGCCTTTAGAGCAGTGCTCTGCATGAATAGAGCAGTCTTTCTAGGTCACTTTAAGGACACTTATACTTGTGCTAGACACTTCTGAGATTAGAATCTACAGCATTATGTCTGTGTTTGAGGAGTTATCTGTAGATGATAATCTTGAGGTTGAAAATGCACCTTTGTCCAGGGAAGACAAAACCCAAGTTTCAAACTGGTACACAAGCCTGGCAAGAATACTATTAAATCAGTATACAGTAACTGTATTGAGATCTGTCTCTTCACTAGGAGAAGTTAACTGTGTAAAGATTGACCTGTGTAATGATGTTACTGTTTTGAACTTGGTGGGCCACTGAAATTACATTTGTATTTTGATTTCTTATCCTGTAGTCTTGGTTAGTACATTTAAGTATCCAACTCTGTATCAGACAACTAAATATAAACTGAATATGCAGAGCATGCTTTCACCCTGCTTAGTATGCTACGTTAGTGAAATCTTAACAGGATGTGTTGGCTGTTGTTGCAGCTGCTTGTAGCGTTATCAGACTGACTAGGCAGCTGGGTTGAAATGTGGCTATAGCCCAAATCAATATTATGTCTATAAGTATGAGAATTCCATGAAAATATGCAAGATGTTCACCTTTCCCAAAGGACTGAATATGTTACTTCTATGATGTGGCTAGCCATAATAATCAGAATGGTATCACAGAAGAAATTTGTGCGTTAAGACATCTGGCTTAATGAATTTCAAATGTCTTGTTTCTTATGTGGGTTGTTTTTAATGATTTTTGTTATATTTAGCCATATCCAGAAGACCCAGCAGTGTACAAACCACTCTCCCAGGAAGAGCTGCAAAGGATAAAAAATGAAAAGAAACAGAAACAAAATGAGAGAAAACAGAAGATATCAGAGAATCGCAAACACTTGGCCAGCGTACGGGTTGTACAGAAGAACCTCGTCTTCGTGGTAGGGCTATCTCAGCGCCTAGCAGATCCAGAGGTGAGCGGTTTACACTTGCAGATCTTGCTCTTAACTTTGTCAGGACTACTGGAATAGTCTTGTGCCCACCCTTGTCTGGCTCCCTGACAGGTACAGAATGAAGCAGCACTGAAAAGGTTCACTGCTGCTGGGGTCCCCCCTTCTTAAGGGAACCCACTCAGCTTCCTCCTGCTAAATAACCTTAAGTGTTTGTTTGGTTTTGGGAGTACAGATGTGCTGGTTTATTTGGGTTTGTTTTGTTTTTAAGGAAATTCTTACTTGTGCTTGTTTAAAAATGGCTGGTTGTGAAGCTAAAGATTAGCTTAAGGATTTTTTTTTAGGTACTCATTTTCCTAGGCTGGATCTGCTGGCACTGTACAGCTGTGTCATGCACCACCAATTCTTAAATGGAAACTTGGCTGGATTATAAAGAACAAATACAAAGTGTAGCATGAACCTGTAGGGACAGAAGAAAAAAGCCAACACTTGAAGTGTAACTAGGGAGGAGCATAAGGGTGATGTCAGTTGAGGGGAAGAAAATTAAGAGGAAGACCCAGGAAAGAGTTGGCTTGCTACTCTGCATCATCAAGAAGAAGCTTCTGAGAAAACTAATTGTGTTTAAAATGTTTTATTTACTTCCATTGTAAGTCAGCTGCAGGTGGCTAATGAAATCAGCGCTAATGAGAAGTACCTTGAATTAGAATATGGAGGGAATGTACTACGGGGTAAGATAGATGTCTTCAAAACTACTGTGCCAAGTTAAATTCACCTGATTGGACTAAATTGTCTGGAGAAATCTTAAATAGCAGGGACTGTTTCTGAGGCTCACAGCACATGGGCTGCATTTTGGTAGACTAGGAAAGAGCAAATGTAAAAAGTTGCTTTTAATAGAGGGTAAAAAAGGAAGGATATGAATGGAAGAGAAAAATCAAAGTTAAACTGACTTGACATAAACACTTCAGTATTCTGCAAGAATATAGCAAGAAGCATTTGCAAGCAACTGTCAGCACTGGTTTGGTGCTGTTTCTTACTGAAAAATGTATTTGGTTTCTCTGACCAGATAGATGATTTGAGTAAGAGAAATAGTAGTGTAGGCAGTTTTTTTGTTGTTGGTTTTTTTTTTTAACCTCAGATAATTCCACACTGGATACCTGAAGTAATTAGAAGTGGGTTTATTGGTGTAGTAAGGGCAGGGCAGTTTGTGCTAGGTTTGGTGGGAGCAGTGTTCTCACTGACATACCAGAAGATAATGTGTACTTGCTGAATATTGCACATAGCACCAAGATGACTTGATTTCCAAGAAACCCAGCCTCAAAGGGAGATGGGCTACAAAAATAAGTATTCAATATCTTCAATTTAAGTTTTCCATTTAAGCAGGCAAAAACATCCTGCACAACTAAAGATGATTTGGAGGGGAGATTGGCTGCTATTAGCTGTTTCTGGAAATAGATCTGTGGATCATAATGGAGTACAGGTGGATCCACTTCTGTTGACATACTCCTGTGAAAATTGTGAGGGCTGTGCTGTCATGTCTTGTCAAAAGTATTATCTGCAAGACACTTGAAGAAACTCTTTTGCCTTACTTGGGATTGTCAGTCTGCTCTGGAAAGATGCCCAAGGGGGAGGTGTAGGATCTTTCAAGAGGGTGTAGATCAAGTGAAGAGCAGTCAGAAGAGACCAGTGAGTGACTGATTGTCTACACAATGTGCCCTGTAGTTCTACAGGATGTTCCAAATGTTATTAATCCTGTTAGATCTTGGAGACACTGGTGCTTCCTTGAGAAGGGAGAGGAGGTGGTAAGGTAAAGAAATTCTTGGATCAGTACAGTTTAACTGTACTATCCAGCGTTAATATGAAGATGGGTCTGGGGAAACAAATCTTCCTTTTTAACCTCTCAGGTTCTTGTCTAGAACTAGCTATGTCCTTAGCTTATCTAGCTTCAGTCTGAGTAGTCAGTACTTCTGCACCTTTTTCCATCACAGGGGTAGAAAAAAGGGGTTTTGGTACAAAATGTGTCAGATACATTACCATTTCCACTGACACACAGGTAGCTGTTATTCAACACAGTTCCTTAATATGCTAGAGGTGTTCCTTCTTTGTGCAGGATCCCTAAATGGTGTGTTATTACCAGCTGATGCAGAGAAGGGCAAGACAGAAATAGGGATGTGGTATTTACTTATTCATTTCAGCGTGATGTTGGTTCTGAAATGTTTATTCTTGCCCCTGACAAGTGTCATACCTTGTCATCTTGTACTTAGTTTGGTCTTCTGACAACTTGAGGCTATCACAAGCTAATTGGTTTACTCTTTCTCTTTGGAGTGGGGAAAGTGAGTCAGCATTCAGTGCTTTTTTCCTAGCAGTTAATATATCTGAATGCAAGTTTAAGATGGTTATTTTAAAACTGGACTGAGTGCAATTTTTTTCTTTCCTCAAATTATACAATAAGATACATACAAGAATACTTCATGCTGTATGGGATGCATCTTGCCAGGGTCAGACTTAAGCAATCTGAGTACCAGAAGAATTTTTAAAAATTACAACACAAGATGTGAAACACCCCATATTTACATTCTTTACTGCAGTGGCAATACTCTGTATTGCAGGTAACCATGTTTTATGTTGGAAAACAAATACACATCTGCATGTTCTCCTCCTCTTTGTAGAAGAGACCTGTTTTTTATTAGTTAAAGGCTTTAGTTGCAGTTACACAGGAGGACAGCTCTGTATGAATTAACTTTCCAGTATACCATTTCAACTTTCTTTTTTTGTAGGTTTTGAAACGACCAGAATACTTTGGCAAGTTTGGTAAAATACATAAAGTTGTAATTAATAACAGCACATCATATGCAGGCTCACAGGTAAGTCAGAGGCTCTCGTGATTATTTTTTTTTAATTTATTCCTTTAGAGAAAATACATGTGTGCAGAGTGAATCTGGGGCTCCCTATTTCTGATTAAGCAATAGGTTAAAGTAGTAAAAAGACAAAAAAATGCGCCATTGCAAAAATCAAATTACTTTTAAGTTACTGAGGCGTTTTCCAGCCAGACTCTCAAAGTTGGATACAAAATGCAGCGCAGAAAGATTAAAAACTTGGAGACAGACAGGACGAGAACCTTTAAGGAAGCAGGAATACGGCATTTATTCACTAATCTGCATTTCAGGGGTAAAATACCTTTAAGTATTTTTAGAACTTTAGGCCACATTTTCATGTGTTTCTTTTCCCCATTCTTTATGCATCACATCTAAACTTTTATGAATACTGCAGTTTTGGTCATTTTTCCTGTTAAAAACATCTAGCTATGAATATACCTGTTTGAAGTGAGCTGGTAAAAAAGCAACTTCATATTCAGATCTGTCTGAGGGGGGAAGAAAAATAAATAAATAAAAATATGGTATGTTTCCTTTCTAGGGTCCAAGTGCCAGCGCATATGTAACCTACATCCGGTCAGAAGATGCTCTCAGAGCCATACAGTGCGTCAATAACGTGGTGGTAGACGGCAGAACACTTAAGGTAGTAATATTTTTACATTCTTCTGTATATGTGTTAGGACACTAATACCTGTGCATAGTATAAAATGTTATTTGTATGGATGTTTGTGTTGAATAAAAATGTTCGGTTTATTGGGTATTGAGTTTTGACCTGTTTTCCTAGCATTAATCATTACCTGGAAGTTCAGTGAGCTTCCTCAAGACAATGTTTTAGGGGATTAGCAGATAACTTCTTAAAACAAAAGTTTGAGACAAAGAGATACGCCATCTCCTGCTTCCCACAAGGGCTTTTTTGCGGTATAGCTTAATAGCAAAGTGTGAAAACCTGATTATTTGCTTTCACAGGGCATTTCTGTAGTCCAAATACCACACCTTTCAAAAGCTCTCTGGGAAATGCATTTTTTTTTCCTTTTGGTATCTGTGTAAACAAGTATTCAGGCAGACTTGGACAAATTGGTGGCTGTAGAAAATCATCTTATTAATGTTCATTTCCTGACCCTGCTACAAAGCATTAACCAGTTTCATGTAATACAAACTCATAACTACTTATTTGGCTTCTTGTTATGAATGCAAAAATTTACTGTGCCTCTTATTTTGGCATTTATTTAGATTGGATTAAAATAGAGATACATCCCCATTATCTAATCCTCAGGTATATAGATTTCTTGCAGATAGGCTTCCTAGTCCATTTGTATCAAAAAATCCATTATGATGGAATGCCAGATCTTGGGAAGGAATTTTTATGTATTTTTTTTTCCAATGTAGCTTTTTTTTGTTATACTGTAAAAGGCATTCTTAACCTCTAGTACTTAAGTAATGCTTTTTTTTCTTTCAGGCATCATTAGGTACAACAAAATACTGCAGTTATTTTCTAAAAAATATGCAGTGTCCAAAACCAGACTGCATGTATCTACATGAGCTGGGAGATGAAGCAGCCAGTTTCACAAAAGAGGAAATGCAGGTAAGTGTAATAAGTGGGAAACATGAAATGTGGCATGTATGTGTTTCATTGTATATAATATTTAATCAAATATGTGCATAATGTAGCCTCTTGCTGAATGTTATGGAAGAGATGAATTTTGAAACCCAAAAGGGAATTAACCAGTTGGATATTGGAGGTGAACTGTTAGTTAATTTTTTTCATTGTGTGCTGCTTTTATGGGCTGAAAAGTCTGCTGTGTTCATGAGTCAGAAAGATAAACTCTCAGCCAGGAATTCAAACAACCTTGAGTTAGCTGCTTGCCCTTTGTTCATACCAATGCAAGGTAATATGTTCTTTTAAATCTCTGTAAAAGAAGTTGGTGCAGGTCTGGGTTTTCCTGTAGGTTATGTGTCTGTGGCCAGTTAACATACAGCTTAACTACTGTACTGTGATTTGACCATGCTATCTGAATTCTGATATCCCTTTTAGCCTGTGAAGGGTATAGAAACCATTTGGAAATAAAACATTGAGGGTAACTGTAATAAGAGCACAAGTACTGATGCAGGTATTTTTTACTATCTCAACATCAAAATGCTTATTATCTAGGGTAGGGAGGAAAGTAAATGGATAGCTTTACTTTCTCAAAAGTAATGGATTCTGAGGTCTTTTGGGGTCTGGGTCTGTCTGTCTACCTGAGGTATGAAGTTTTTAGACTCAATCTTAAGTACGCCGACTTTGCATCAATGCTGTAATTTTTTCATGCCTGTCCATGAAGCAGGTGGTCCCTGCCCTTAGTGCTAACAGAAATGTTGTGCAAGTAGATTTTATTTCATGTGTTAGGCTGATGTAAGCCAGAGAATAAGGAAGAATGTCCATATCAATTAAACATTTCTTTTCTACAAATTAGCAGTTATTTCTGAGGATTTCAGCTACATTTTCATAAATTAAAAAAATACACTGCTGGTTCATATGAATACTCACTGTAGTATATACTTTGCTGCAAATAATGGCAATAGGAATTATAATTCAAGGAGAACTTGCAAACCAGACCACCTTCCCTGTTCGTTTTACTGTGTTTCTCCCACCATCTAGCTCTGTTATATTATACATCTTTGGGAGAACATTCCTGTCTAGGTGTCATGATTTAGGGCTGGGCTGGCCACTAAATACTGGACAGACCCTTTCTATTAACCCCTCTCCCCTCCCCAGAAGGGAAGAGAAAGAGAGAATAAGGGAGAGAGACTTTACGGGTTGGAAAATAAAACTAATATATTTAATGAAACAATAATACTAATACTACAGGATAATAATGTAAATAGGAAAATAATGAAATATATACAGATATGTACAAATTATATATATATAAAACCAATATAGAATCCTACCCCCTCCACCTAATGATGATTATGTCACCAGAGGCTCTGTGGAGCAGGGATGTAGGAGCTGGATTCAGGAGCACACCAATCAGGATCGGAGGCAGACGAACTGGCAGGGTTCTCTTCTCCTGCAATGGCTGAAGCCCAAGCAGGGCAGGAGGGAAAGTTTGAGACCCTTGTGATCCCTCAGGTTTATACTGAGTATTACCTATGTGGGATAGAATACCTTGTTGGTCAGTTTTGAGGCTGCTCGTCCCTGTAGGTGCAGATATGGTACCCATGGTGAGACAGTGGCCTTGTGATGTTTATATAACATGCAAGCATTATCACTTGTAGAAGTACACACTGTCTGGAAAAACACCATTAGTTTCAGACAGTACAGCTGCTTAGAAGAGACTGAACTGAAAAGTAAAATCACGAAACAGAAAATTAGTTCTATTTAGCTCAAACTAGCACACTAGGCTTTTTAGGTTTTTTTTAATAGAGCTGTCAGTCATGAACTTACTGAATCCCTTTTGAACCTGCTGATACTGTCAACCCTATAGTTCTCTGTGGCAGCAAACCCCAGAAGCTCACCAGCTGCTTTGTAAAGTGCTTTCTTTTGCCAGTGTTTAAACTGATCTCCAGTTAGTTTTGTCAAGTGCCCCCTAATCTTAGCATTGTAGTAGTTGCTGAAAGCAAAACCTTTATTCACCTTATCCATTACCTTTGTGATGTTGTAAAACGTCATCTTATGTTTCTCAGCGTTTTCTCTAAATCACACAGATTCTGGACTTTTAAACTTTGTGAAGCAGTTCCTCCCTTTCTGTACTTATTTCTGTTGCCCTTCTGTACTTTTTACCTGTGCCTTCCTTGAGATGCAGAGGTCAGACACATCATACTCATGATGTGGGAGAAACAAAGTTTAATATTGCAGTCCTCAATGTTTTGTGTGTAGTGTGGTGCATGTAGGGTTTTTTGGTTTGGTTTGGTTTTTTTGGTGGTTTGGGGTTTTCTAAGCACCCTTCCTAATGATGCCCAGCACACCTTTTTTAGTGTATGCTAGCCAGTGCATAATCAACTAACAGTTTCAGAGATCTGTTGACAGTAGTGTTGGTGTCTCTTCTCTGAGCTCTAACAGCCAGTTCACAGATCAGTAGAGCATTAATACAGTTTAGGCTACTTTTCCCTTAGTGCATTACCTGACATGTCTGATGAAGCTTATTTGCCACCTTTTTTGCCCGTTTGCCAAGTTCTCCAGGTTTCCTCTGGAGTTCCTTCATTATCAGCATGACAGTTTACTACACAAACAGCTTGATATTGTCAGCAAAGAACTTGTTCTTCACTCCTTTCTCATGCACACCTATAGTGTTGTATAAAACTGATGCCAGTCATCAGTCCTTATTGCTTGTTTTTGCACCCTAAGAGAGTGACCAGGAAGTCTTACCTTTGCCTTTCTATGTTTGAACCAGCTTCAATCCGCATGAGAACCTTTCCTGTATCCCAGGGTACTTGTAAATAACTTGTAGTGTGAAACCTTGTCAAAAGCATTTTTGAAAATTTTGTGAATTTTCTTTATTTGTTCTTAATGTCACTATCATAAAATTCCATCATGTCAGTGAAGTAGGATTCTCCTTTACAGATGATGTTCAGATTCATTCCCAGCAGGTTATGTTTATCCATGAATTTCTATCTCTCTTTTTTTTAATAAGACTTTATAATCTCTGGAGGGATGGAGATTGAACTTGGTCTGTAGTTCACAGGATCTTTTCTACAGCCCTTTTTTTAGAAGATAATGGCAATCTGTCAGTCCTCTAGCCTAACTTGCCAGTTACAATTGATAAAGTACAAACCTTGGCCAGGAATTCAATTTCACATATGAGTTCCTTCAGAAGTCTTGAGTGGATTGTACTCAATCATGGTGACTTATATGGATCTTCCTTTCCTGTTCTTTGTTACATTCCTTAAACTTTCTTCTTGATTTCATATCGCTTTTTTGGAAGTAACTGGAAATTACACAGCTATTGAACTTGCATTTCAGTGCACCAGCTTTCTAGAGTTTGGATTAGTGTCAATGAATTTACAGGTCCATTTAATGAGGTTGAATGTTCATTGTCACAGACTTTGTTTCTCTATTAAAAAGAAACTAAATTGTCAGTGGATGAACATATTCTAAGTTCAATAACTGTTAATGGAGCTAAGCATTGTCACAAACTGCATAGAACTGGTAGAAGTTCAGGAAGTGTCTGAAAGCGAATTTGGGAATTTAGGTAAGGTAGGTTGGAGATGCAAACTTTGACTTCTGGAGTGCTTGTTATAAAGCACAATTACTGCAAGCTCCTGTGTAGGATTTTAATCTTGTTTCTTACATTTATGCGACAAGTAAGTGAGCTTAGGACTGGCCTGATGTTCCTGACCATGACATTCAGTATTTTGCCATTGAAGTCTTAAGGAAGATGAGATAATCCAGGGAGTCATCTTCTCCCTCATCTGCTTAATGTTTGCAGTGCAGATCCATGCATCTGAGCTAGTTGACTATATTCTGTTCATAGCAGATGATATAAGAAGCGTTTCCAGGGTGCAGTATATTTCATGAAGCTTGCATTTAGGTGAACCACACTCTAAAACCAATACTTTTTTTCCACTGTAGGTAGTAGCTTGGGTGTAGACACTGACAAAGTTGGATAAGATGATGCATGCACCAAATGTTTCAATATCCTTTTTTTGAGGGTTGTTTAGGTAGACTACATACAGAAGGACAGGTTCAGAATCAACCAATAATGGAAAACTGGAGAATTAAGTAGCAAAAAAAGGAGGTATTTATAGTGTTAGACTGAATGGGAGTATTCAAATGGGATGTGCATTTGCTTTTCTAAAGGAGCTCATAAGGGAATTTAGTTAATCAGCAGTACTTTTTTTTTCTAATTCTGTCAGATATTCCTGCTTGATTTTTTTTTGGTTATTTTTTTTAAACCAAATAATAGTTTTCTGTTAGGTTTCAATATTTTTCTAGGAGGATGTCCACATTGCCTGTTCATCAATTCCATTTGTGTTTCAACAAAACAATTATAAAGGGATTGAATTAAGTAATGTACAAATGTTAATTTTTAAGTGTACATATAGTGTGAGAGCTTTTTAAATCACTACTGAAGATGTGTTAGATAATAATGTGTTCCAGACTTAAGGTGACCATAAATCTTAGCACTTGTTTCCTTTGCTAAAAGATATCTTTTGGTATCTGGAAACTCTAGATAAAAGCTATAGACAGCTTCAAATTCACTGTTCTATTTTGCATCTTAATTCAACTCATTACTTAATTTGCTAACAGTAATTCTTAGGTTGGAGTGGTATAACAACCTGCAAAAAATGATTGCTCATCTTAAATTTGTTTTAGGTGTCACTTTAAATGTTGGGGGGGTGGATCTTTCTGGTTTTGTTTTAAATAATTAACCACTGAATGTTATAGATAAGCTAGACTGAAAAATACTCCCTCCCTTCACCCACTAGATTCAATATTCTGGGGTTGGATTGGGCCTTGTCAAGTTCTGAAAGCAGGAAATTGTTCTCAGCTAGTTAAGTTAGAAGAATATTTAATTTTTTCAGTTATTAGGTAGAATGATTTGTCAGTTATTGCTCAGAATATATTCCTTGTCATATGGTAATTAACACTCAGACCAGCTCAGCTGTTTTATTAATAGATATAAAATTACTTCCATTTTGCAACTTTTGTCTTAAAAGAGAGAGATTCTTTGTTCCTTCTCATATTCAGAGAAGCTTAGTACAGTTGATACATCAAACGCAGACTGCCTTGGAGATTAGGTGTTTGTGATTTAGAAGGTATATTGTGAAACTCTTGATTTGAACTTGAAGAGTAAATTCTAATAAGTTTGTAGCTATTTTTCTGCTTTGGAAGTCTCTAAAAGAATTATAAATTGGTAAATATATCTAAGTGATTTCTAGACAAGCTTTAGATTTGTTGAGATTGTACCTGTGTTGAGATTGAGGAGCACTGGTTTGAGCTTCGGTCAGTAGTGACCTGCTAAGTTGTTAAACCTTGGTTACTAAGCTTTGGGATGTGCATACATAGACCTCTATGTAAAAAAAAAAAAAAAAAATCTTTTTAAAATATCTATAAACATATATATTAAACCAGTTCTCATAAATTCTGAATTTCTCTTTCCTTAGGCGGGTAAGCACCAGGAATATGAACAGAAACTACTGCAAGAATTATATAAACTAAACCCCAACTTTCTCCAATTATCTACGGGTACAGTTGACAAGAACAAGAACAAAGTGACAGCACTGCAGAGGTATGATGCGTAAGTACTGATGCTGGACTGCCTGGCTATGCTTGCTTTCTAGTTATTCCCAAAGAAAACTTCCTTATTCCTGTTGCATCCCCTAAGTTGCTTACTCTGTTTAGTGGCTATTTTGTGATAATCTCTGATACCTGTTTCCTCTGTGCAGAGACATACGCACCACTTTGTTATTATACAAAGTGAGTGTGAGTCTTATTTAGTAAAGAAATGTTTTTCTGCTCTGTGCATTTGGATCACTAGTTCAGAATACGGGATTCTTACTCTGAAATGAGATCTTGTTTTATATATTTGCATAAACACGTAATATTTATTGAAGACCAGATGAATGCTGGTCTGTATTCTCACAACTGAGACACCATATAGTCTTGATATGTGGTTTTTATTGGGTTTTTTACATCATTATTTATAGTGCAGTCCTTACATTAGGTATAAGGACCTTGGAAATTGAAAGTAAAATAAGTTGTGTTTTTTGTCTGAGTAAGAGCTCACAAGATGTGAATAAAAGATTTCTTACTTTCATCTAGTAAGCCTCAATGATGTATTTTTCACTATGTTGTAATTGCAGATACTACTTTTAGTACTGCTTGTTAAAATAATATTCTGTTGAAGTCATTCAGTAAGGTTTCAGTGAAGAAAAATATTTCTGTCCGTATGAGTACATAGTCACGCAAAGATAAATGAAAGCCTAAGGTCGTCAGTCGTTATGTGAAATGTCACGTGTTATATTTAAGATAAAGAAATAAAAACCGTTAACAACGTCTTCCACTCCTTTTTGTAGGGTTTTCATAATGAGATTGACAAGTGGAATGTAAAAGTTAGATTGCACTTTGTATGCAACTTGACCTTGTAATCAGGGTTTGTGTTGTGTGGCAGTTTATCCACTACTGAATTTTGCAGGCAGTAATTTGCTACTGGCAGCATCACTGCACAATAGTTTAAGCAAGAAAGTGGGTATTGTATCTAAAGTATTGCCCGTGGAGCTTGACTATGCAGAATATAATTCTAAGTGGTATCCCAGCTTGTGTACTGAAGTTATTTTCATGAACTTCTGAAGGAAGTGCACGTGCTCTCCAACTGCAATTGCTCAGGACCTCCAGTTGGATCCCTGAAGGACTGTGCCACTTCTTATTTCTTTGGCACTGGTTTGGTATTGACTTGTAAGGAAGAGTGCAGTGAGTAAAACAAATGCACCACTTCCTGCATTTGAGTTATGAGTATTTTATGTTCAAAGTCTGAACTAATCTTAATTTGAAACCTAATTAGATCCCAGCAAAACAAATGATATTGGTGAGGAATGAATGCTGTATCTGAAACTGCAGCAAACTTTTAAGCCTTCAGAAAGCAATTATGAATTGGAGCTTGGCCAGTCTGTGGTGCTAACATTTTGGCACTTGTGGAAAAAAAGGCATGTTACTCTAAAGGCAACAAGTGGTCTGGAGTTAATGTCTCTTGTCAGCTGAACAGCATCATCACAACGCAGACTCTGTTCTTTGCTATAGGCTAGACACCACCTTTTGAATTGCAAAGTGAATTTCTTCTTGCAGCTAGGAATCTGAAATGTTTCTTCAAGTCTCATCAGTACAAAATATACCTTGTGAGCTGGTGAATGCAGTTGTTCTCCTTCACAGCTTTCTACCCAATTGTGTTCACATTGTTATCTGATGCATTGATATGATATTAATATTTCTGGCAGTTTGTCAGATCATCTGACAATTTTGTGGTTGTTCTTGTGTTTTTGGTGTGCAGGATTTCTGTTTCGCTCCAGAATTGAACAGAAGATGAGTTCTAAATAGTAGATGCTGAAGTATAAATATCCAGTAGTAGAAAACAAGTTTCTTAAAATGTGTGTAAATGCTGTTTTTCACAGTTGTGTTGTAATTTGAACGGTTCTACTCACACACCTCTTTTTACTGCTGAAGGCAAATGTTAAAATCCTCTGGTGCTGCTTTGTTTATGTGGGTACTCATCACTTGGTGTGTCACTTGATAGTCATAGTGACTGCATTCTCGTACAGTTAGTTATATTCCACATTTAAAACAGATCAGGCTCTTCCCCCCTCCCCTTTTTTTTTTTCTGCTGACCTTCTAAAGAACTGAAATGAATATTTTCTTATTCTACAAGCAGAATAAAGAAACTAGTTCTTTCCCTTTATCCTTGGATACAAAACTGACTTTTAACTGTGACATTTTAAAGTCCATTTTAGTATAGAGATGACTTTGCATTGCAGCAGACATAGATTTTGATATTTAAAATTAATCTGTTAATGGATTGAAAGTCTTGTTATATCTAGGTTACAGCTCATTTTTGTAAGGGTGAGAAAATTAAATTACTGGTATTGTGCTGATGATGACGTATCTTCATTCCTTGATGTTCAATATATGATCAACTCGCCATCTCTAACTTATTTCATACATGTACAAAGCAAAGATGAGATCTGTAAGTTAGGTCAAGGCTCTCATCTGTGTACATATTGTATAGATACATGAGAAAAGATGGAGGTAGAATAGCTAATCTTAAAATACTAAGCTTTGAGCGTAGCTAGTAACACTAGTATTATCTGAATAGGAAGCACCTGTGTTGCTATAAGCAGCTATAGGAATTTCTAGATTCTGACTGTGGACTTACTAAATTGACCTGGAGATAAGTGAATGTTGGGCCATGTAATAAGAACATACTCATGAAGGAAGAATCAGGGGGAACATATGTATTTAAAAAAATTGGTTTTTTGAAAGCTTGTTACTTATGAAGACAGCACTTGGACACTAAAAACAGCATCTAGCAAATTAAAAGCTAAAGTCAATATAAAAACTAGAGAACACAAAGGCACATGTTTTTCTAGTAAGATTTTAAGGTTAGCAGATGGCACTGTATTTGAATGCATTCAGTTATAGATGATGTTCCAGCTTGCTTCAATTTGCATAAAATGTAACTATTTTCAGCAAAAACTTGGGCTTTTAGTACTCTCTCTAACTTCTTTCAGTTCTAATGTGCACTCTGTAATTAATGTTATTTTATAAAACAGAGGTAATTACGGCTTTAAACTAGAAATGGAGCAATAACTTGAATGAACAGTGTGTTAGTCTCATGGCCTCCTAGTAAAGCTGTGGACTCTTGTGTAGACATAAAACACAAACTTCATCTGTTTGGGCCAGGTTTGATAGATTCTGGAATATAAAACATTTATTTAAAAAAGAATATTTAGTTCATGACTTACAGAACTTACAAATACTTACGGGATAAAGCAAGTAGTTCTAAATTAAATATGTCTAGGTCTGGATACTTGAAGCTGTCAATGATTTTTGGGTTTTTACATTTTTTTTCTTCTTCTCCAAATGGACAAGTTTGGACTTCAGCGTTGGCAGAGCAGCTATCTATTCAGTGAAGAAAACAGAATTTCTCCCAGTTATCTCTCCTCTCCCTACCTCACTAATTCTTTTTTTAAGTCATCACCATTTAAAATCTGAAAAATAATATCCAGATAAATCTATTCTTGTGGATTGTCTGGCACAAGGATTCATTTCCCCCGTGTTTACAATTTTTAAAAACACTTTCTTCATAACTTGAACTCTTTTTTTTTTTTTTTTACTCTTGCCTTTTTCCAGACCCAACAGTAATAACAAAGATGCCTGGCCATCATTACAGAGTTCAAGTAAATCAGCCAACGGTTTAACAATGGAACACAGGAAAACGCCTCCTATATTAGAAAATGGCACAGACCCAGAACACATGACTCCAGATGGTGCAGACTCAGATTTCGGGTAATTGTGCTGCCTTTTATACTTCAGTTAGCTTGCTTTCTCTCTCACTGATTGATGTGGAGGGAATGATTCTCCAGTCTCTCTCTCTGGTTGGAGGGCTGGATTTAAATCCTGATCTGGTCGCCAAAAAGCTGGGCTCAGCCTAGCCCATGTCAAAAAGACCGATTGGCAGATTGTGCAGGAGGACCTAAGGTGAAGTTAGCCAGTGATGGTACAGGTAAGGGCTGAGGGGATCAGAATAACCAGAAGGATCAACGGCTTGCATAGCTGCATGGTCCCAACCACAACTGAGCCCTTCATTTCTATACAGAAGCTTTCACAAGAGCAACGCGCTAGCTGCTGTACGTGAGGAGGCTGGTTACTTGGAGAAGCTTCAGCAGAAGGAAGCTAAGTGTTAGGGCTTGAACGTGTAATCTCTTTACAACCGTGTGTTCCAGAAACAACTGCAGAGGTGAGGGCTCCCCAACTATCACTTAGTGACTGGGGCAACAGGGCAGCAGGTTCAACTGAGGCTTCTTTGTGCAGACGAATTACTTGCAGTAACTTCCTTATTGCTAACCAACATTTTTGCCTCTTTTGGTGCCCTCCTCGAATAGAGCTGATGTCCTCTTCCATCATAAACATCACTTGCAGTTCTGATGGTAGTCCGTAGTGATGCTGGTTTGTCTTTTATGGATCCCCATAGGTAATATCAGTGAGGTTCATTCAGAAGTTGGATGGGAAAATAACAGAAGTAAACCCTAATAATTCAGGAAGTGGTGTTGCTGATCAGGTAGCTGATGTTTTGTTTTAAATCAATATTGAACCAATGCGTTAACATTGAGTGGTGTTGGAAGTGGTACCTTCTTGTTAGGCTTAATAGCAGTCCTGTTGAGGTGTGATCAGAGACCCTATGGTTGCATCTCAGTAGTGACGTGCAGCTTCCTCCTTAACCTTTCTGAAAAGAATGTACTATATGTAGGTAAAAATACAGTAGCCAATAGATAATGAATCTGATTTGTTCCTGAGGACTGGAAGCCTGTCTTACAATTAAAGGCTCCTTAGGCAGGTTTGAGTATAATAAACGTTTATTTTCAGCACTTAGATTGCCCTTAAAAGTTGTCTTAGCTTTTTAAACTGCAGCATTGTGACTTTCTGTTAGCAGCTTTGGGAAAAGGATTTGGCTGGAATACCAGCTCCAAAATCAGAATGACTGTGTAGTGAAGAGTCTACAGCAAACCTTTGTGCTATGGGTACTCGGAAATTACTATCCCAAGGCAGTTTGTTACAAAAAAGAGAGCTTTATTCATGCTGATCAACCACTCAGTAGAAAGTATTTGTAAATCTTCACTGGAGTAGTGCTTGTTTGCAAGTATATTCCTCTGATTTTTCTTTTATAGTAATAAATACCTCAGCGTCAGTTATCTTTTTGAGATACCAACTCAGTTGGTGGTGTTTTGCACAAAAATTGTTTTTATTGACGGATTACTCTCACATGCTTTCTTTAGACTGGAAGAAGATTAATTCTGTTTGGTCTCAAGTCTAGTTATTCTGAGATGAGAAGCACAAATACGGGGGAAGCAATCTTAGGAATTTTTGACCTTGATATGTGGCTCTATGTGATACTTAAACTTTGCAGCAGCAAAGGATGTTTGAAAACAAGATGTAGCTAGAATCTGAAGTCTGCAACCAGTCAAAATAATTTATATATATATCTGTGGTATGCTACCACATCATGCCTGTAACTTGACTTGAATCACATTCTGGCCTCTTAATGGAACTGAAAATCGTGGTTTTTTTATTTCTGGTCCTTGTTTGTAGGGCCAGTGTTTTGGGCTGTGCAGCGAGATGCTTGTACATCTTCTCTTATGGGTAGATAAACATGAAAGTACCTTGAAGTTGTAAATCAGAGATTTTAATCTGTAATTGAACTAATACTGTTTCATTAGTGTGATATTTGGCATAATTAAGGCAACTCTCAGATGCCTGTCAGAATCTTCAATACTGAGATGTGCCATTTCAGCAGAGTCATGTTAATTCCCAGTGAATAGCTTTCTGAGGTGGTTTTCTGCTGTCTCTTATCTTATCTTATCTTTTGTTCTCTTTGTTGGCAGTTTTTTATTCTTTGGGTTTTTTCCTACATTTTCCCCCTTCTGTCATCTCAAAACTCAGTTTTCTTACCTTCAGACTAATTTCTGCTAGTTAAAGCTTGAAGGCTGGTGAGAAGCTTAACTTGCCACCAGAACTAAATAGTTAATTTAATCTTTTATCTCTCCCCAGATTTATTTAGGACTTGTGTGGGAACTGGCAACTTAGGTATCTGGAAAACAAATCTGTTCCCAAGTTTCTCTCCAGTAGTAGCATAGATAGGACTGATTGCTTTGGAATTCTGCCATAGTACAAGAGTCCTGGTTTTTTTGAATGGCATAGCGGTATTATGAACATGTTTAAAATTTTTGCTTTTATTCCTTAACAGGGCAGACAACAAGCAGAGTGGAGAGTGGTGGGAAGAAGTATTACAGTATATGACAAATGATTGGAATGCTTATGATTTAAAAAAAACCTCATAAATAATAAGTGGACTTTTTTCCTTCTTGATTCCTCCTAATTAATTTTGCTTTGTCTTTATTTTAAGGCTTTTCTACCACTACAAAAGCAAATGTTGATTTTTCATGTTAAATACTTGTCTTATTGACTCTTTTCCCCTCCCACTTTTGCAGCCCTATCGACAAACCTTCAGATTCCCTCAGTATAGGAAATGGTGACGGCTCCCAACAGGTAAGGCGTAAAGATAAATGCTGTGAAAGTTAAGAATTGAGTTTGAGGGCTTAGTGCAACTTGTAGTCAGAGAAGCAAATACTTTATGAAGTGTATCATAATTTTAAACAAAACTAAAAAAATGCTATTGCTAAGTTCATTTCTATGTTTGACTTTGTACTAAGCTATATATTAACTAACCTATTTGCAGCCAAAGGTTTTTGAGGAAATTTTTCAACTATATTAGTGAAGAATATTATATGTAAACACTCATGTCCTAATTGTTTCTCTTCCTTTCTTGCCTGTAGATAACAAACAGTGACACACCTTCACCACCTCCAGGTTTAACAAAACCCAATCCAGTTATACCCATCAGTTCATCTAATCACAGCGCACGGTCCCCTTTTGAAGGGGCTGTAACAGAATCACAGTCGCTCTTCTCTGACAACTTTCGGCACCCTAACCCCATCCCTAGTGGGCTTCCTCCATTCCCCAGCTCTCCACAGACTTCAAATGACTGGCCCACAGCACCAGAACCACAGAGCCTCTTCACATCAGGTACACACACATGTTATATGGCTGTTTTGCAACTGATGTCTAAAAATGTGTAGCACCAAAAACCCTAGGACATGCTGTATACTGATTTTTGACCCCCTTCATGAATGATTAGAATTTGCCACTTAACTACAAATGAATTGCACTGACATAGTGGCTTCTTCCAAAAGAATCTAGAGTTTTCTAGCTGTATGGGTAAATTATCAGAGTGCTTATTTTAGTTTTTCTTAGCCATATGACTGCCTAAATAATAGGATGTGACATGTATGCTTAATATTAAATATTGCAGATTCTTACTGAGAGTGGAGAAAATACATCATGTCAGTATATGTTGGTGTTATAATCTATAATTTTAACATCAGAAGCTGCCCAGTGGAATTCAGAATTTTCTTCAGTATCCTACATAGTTACTTTTTCTTTCTGAAGTGATATATACATTTAGAAAAGATAAAAACATGGTTAATTGCATCAACTGAGAGATACTTGTATTTTCCAGGTACTTCCCTATGGAATACCACTTAATATGGATGAAGCATAATTTTAGGTGCATTTATATAGTGTTGGGGATGCTTAACAGTATTTAAGAGCTCACAAGTTACAAATCTGAGGGAGTTGTTAAAAAGTTAAATGAAACAACATCAATAATAAATAGAAATGATACTTCAGTATTACCAAGGAAATTATCTGCTGTGAATGTACTAAACACACCGATTTTGAGAATTAAGTAGAAGTGAGAGACAATATCCAGGATTTCCAAGATCTTGTTTGTTTCATAATTAATATAAAATGTATAGTTGCTATTTAAATAATACAGAGGATAAATTTTTGTCTGTCTAGCAACTCTTTATCTATTGCCATGGACTTCAGAGTGAAAACGGAAGTGTAGATTTCTTTTCTAAGCGGATACCGAGCTTGATTTTTAACTACGTAAAGCAGCAGACCAGGTTCCCTACCAGCAGAGGGAGTTGATGTTGTGAGTGATACAACCTTGTGCTCATCAAGCTTGCATTACCTGTTCTGAGGAAAAATACTGTGAAGCTAGGCTCGGC